AGTATCTAATACCTATTAGTATTAAGTATCAATGTCCCATCAGTATTTAGTATCAATGACCTATCAATATTTAGTATCAAATGACCAATCAGTATTAAGTATTAATGACCAATCAGTATTATGTATTGACCAATCCGTATTGTGTATCAATTACCAATCAGTATTCAGTATCAATGACCAATCAATTTTTAGTATCAATGACCAATCAGTATTAATTATCAATTACCAATCAGTATTAAGTATCAATTACCAATTAGTATTTATTATCAATGACCAATCAATATTAAGTATCAATTACCAATCAGCATTAAGTATCAATTACCAATTAGTATTAAGTATCATTTACCAGTCAGTATTAAGTATCAATACATTTAGGAGAGAAAGAACACATAAGTACCAAGTAAGTAACAATTAAATTGAGATAATGTGGGGGCAAAAATGTTTGGTTTAAGAGTACATTGAAAAAGAATATAACACAGTTTTCAATAAAACAAAATATTTGGGTCCAAAAGTATGTTACAACTTTTTAATTTTTGCCAAATTATACATATTCATATATATATATATATATATATATATATATATATATATATATATATACTCTCTTATATACACATATATATGTGTAAAAGAGACAGCAAAATAAACAGTNCAGGGGTCGCCTAAGACCATCGGAAAACGAATCTACTCTACACTTATGAAGTAGCAACGAAGATTATTTTTGTGGCGGGGGGGGGGTCGCGGGGGAGGGGGGTTTCGCCACAACATGATGAACTGTATTAAAGGGTCGCGGCATTAGAAAGGTTGAGCACCACTGTTCTAGTACGTTCCATTACGTTGTGCAGTATAATCTCCACCCCCTTCTGCTGATGATAATCTATCGTCTCCAGCAGACGGAAAGATGCCATACATACATACAATATGAAATAGGTCTACATGTCATGCCGAACATACTAAAACCGATAAAAACATGGAATGTATCGTAGGTATTTCAAAACTAGTTTCTCGGTAGACTTCTTGACTTGATAAAGTGTTATCCCACACTATAAATCATCATTTAAACATAGACGTTTCCCGTTCAATCCTCTTACATAAATATCGTGGATCAACCGTCGTAATGTTGAAGCCCCATTTTGTTTCACTCCTTGCTCTCTTCTGATTGGCCAGTTTTCTTTAAGTCCCCATACTCTGTATACTACATAAGTAATAACTTTCCATTTTACTTATCGCCCATATATTCATATCTGTGACACTCCCCCCTCCAATGTGCCCTCTAAGGTTTGTTGGTTCGTGTGCAAAATCATAAAGTTGTGTGCAAATTTTTACAGCATCAATGTTTTTTTTTGTGCGCAAATGTTCAGCCTACGGACACTTAAGTGGAAATTTGCTGCGCGGTACTCAAAACTGCTGCGCGGCGTCTGTGAGATTGCTGCGCGGTCGCGCAGCCGCAAAGGGAACATTGCCCCCCTCCCCATGCCTCACCTCATGCGACACTCCTTCATGACACATGCCTCATGCTACACTCCATGACACATGCCATGGCAAGCCGCCGTTGCCCACATGCCACGCCCCACCTCTATGCCTCCCATGACACACCCCATGCGACACCCATTTGACATGCCATTTCCCCCCCCCCATGCCAAGCCATGCCCCCACATCATGCCCCACGCCACGCCCCCCACTCATACCCAACCAACTGCCCCATCCCCTGCTCCAACCTATACTCCCATGACACACCCCATGCGACACCCATTTGACATGCCATTCCCCCCCCCCCATGCCAAGCCATGCCCCCACATCATGCCCCACGCCACGCCCCCCACTCATACCCAACCAACTGCCCCATCCCCTGCTCCAACCTATGAGCCAACCCATTTTCTATCACATCTATCACCCCGTGTTCCACCATACGCCCCATTGCTAAAAAAATACTTAGAATGTGTATATTTCGGTCTTTTTTTTTCCGTAAAGTTGTTCGAATGCACACACACACCCAAAAATCGCACCGCTCCGAGGCCACACCCGGAGCTCAGCATCTCGGGTGCCAGCTGCACTGACCCCTTGAAAGTAGAATTTTGCTGGCATCATTATGCAGGGGAGGATGGTCATCTTACTGGAAGCTTCTGGTCCAACCTCTCAGGGGAGCTAATTACAAAAATGTTTGTAGTGTACTGCCGGAACTTATTCAGTTCACTTCAGTCAAGTGTTTCTTAGCGTGGGGTGGGGTGTACTCCCCATCGAGGGGGCAGATAAACTGAAGGATTTGTATTTTGGTGGGAAGGGGGGGGGGGGTTTATAATTTTGGAATTGTTGGAAGGGCCGTGGAAGTTTTTTTTTTTTA